ATATATACTGATGAGCCGAGGCATTACGACCATCCCCACATTTCTCATTGAGCTTGTCTAAATAATAGTAACAATAACTGCTGTTTAAGGATGTTGTTGCTAAGAAATCTTTTTTTTAAATTTATTTTGCGAGTTATAGGGAAGGCTCCGGCCCAAGCGAATTTGCGAATTTGAGTGATGTCAGGTCGAAATGGCTTGAAGACTCGGAACGAGTGTCGCCGAAACTGCGCGACTGGTAGGCTGTTCAAGATCTACCGTCGTAAGTTTATATGCAAATTAGATAAAAGTAGGGGAATTCGGTAGTAGAGTCTAAACAGTGGGACGTTCAATCGTTACAATAAAAAAGATATAAGAGTTCCTAAAGAAAAATAAAAGGTAAATGAAAAGCGATGATAAAATGCAACTGGAACATCTTTATAGTTATTAACATTACATGAACTCCTGCATAATTTATAATGGATGTAATTATGAGAATTAAAATTTGCGTTTTTATCTAAAAAAAACTTTATAAAGGGCAATTCATAGAACTAAATAATGAAATTAATATATATTTTTTTACATTTGTTTTTTGTTTCATTTTGCAGTTTATAAATTCAGAGAAAGTAAGTGAAATACAAATATTCTTAAAAATAAAAGTAAAATTAGAATTCATTTACATAATCAGGTTTTTATTTTAACGAAAAATAATAGAATTTTTTACTTTTTTTGATTTTACTAATAAATATTTTGAGCAGAACGTGTACACTTATTTTGGCATACTTTTCCCCCAAGTTTTAGAAGAAATAATGAGTCAATTAAGTAAAAGCTCCTGCATTTGCAAATGTTTCAAATGGAAAATTTATTTAAACCAGTTACCCTGAAGGTAGGCAGAACTTATAGAAAACAATATTTCATTTGTGAAAAATGGCAAATATAAAGACATGCATTATAAATTACATGAAGATGTACAAAGACTTACATAATAAATAAGTACTTCTAAAACTTACCATATATAACACCCTATTTTAAACAATAATCTATTCTAAACAATGATGTACAATGTTTGCCTCTCTAAATAAACATACAGATTCGTATAAAAAATACAGTTCGGTAGATCCACTATCATGCCAATTAGCGTTCAATATATTAATATGGATAAAGCTGAAGGTATAAGCCATAACTAGCAAATGACTGTAGTCCTGATAGAGGAAGACGAATTAGAGACGAATACGAATGCTATTTTCCCTTGAAATAAGGTTCCTTTTACTCCTTTACCTCTTGGCTTAAAACTGGTTATTGTGAGGGAGTATTTATACATTAACTCTATACAATTACCTATTATGACTTTGAATTCGATATTTAGTTTCTCCAGTCTTCTACCGACAGTATGAAAACGGTTATTCCCATTTTAATCTTTTGGCATTGTTCAGCATTGTTTTGCGAATTGTCAATTTACCAGATCGAGACATAATGTTAAAAGCATCCCTTGAAATTCAAAGAGTTTAAATTTTCTCTTTTAACTTTGTTTTCATGAATGGATATTTTTCCATTAAAAACAAGCAAACTCGTACACGCAAAATAGCATGATAGTATCGGGCGATTCAAGAAATGTATAGATTCTTACTATTTATTTCTAAGATATATTATTAATTTTTTCCGTAGTTTCACTCCTATATGCTCGCGTATCTTTATGCACTTTCGCATTTCATGAAAACACATATCTTTACAGAAGTCACAGGCCATGATGGACGACCTAAAGATAGAAGAGATAAAAATGGACTTGGATTAAGTAAGTATTAACAGTAACTAGTATATTATGCAATCTACATAGCGTTTGATCGTAATTGATTTTCTAATATTTAAAATATTGTGTGTGTATATATA